ACTAAAAACCGTAACATGGCGTTACGGACAATTATTATTTTTTCGGTTACAATTAATCTTAATAATATACTTTACTTTTATCAAACATTTTATAAATATTCAATAATTGTTGCATATTAACAATTATTACTGACATTTTTGTGTTAGATAAATTAATTACTGGTTAGTTACACTTCAAGCTATTGTTTTGTAAAGCTATTATTCTTTATTGTACCTTAGGTATACTAAGGATATATATTCGAAATGTTTTACTCCTCAAAATATCAGCTTAACCCTTTGATCAGGGAAACTTGATGAAATTGGAATTTTTTTAAGTAAAAAATGTATTTAATAATATAATTGTTTTCAATGTGGTACTTTAAATTTATATGTTACAATCCAAAAATATAAAAAATATTGTTTTAACTTTTAAAGAATTCTAATGGGAATATTTAAAACTTATATTCGCCGACTTACCCGGGTAACTTCTGTAATTTTTGGGGAAGAATATCAACTATTTGTATAACAATAATAAATTTACAATCTTATTTCGTTTTAGATCTGCTTAAAAACTTTGGCAGAAATATACAAGAATATGAAAACATTTATGATGTTGAATACTATGAAGACGTTTAAGATGATTAAAATTATACATAAATACTAATAAATATTGGAAATTGCTTCTATTCAAAGTTTATAAAATTATAGTAAATCTTCATTAGAAATTTTTGTTCTATCATATATTTATTCATAAATGTTTAAATTGTTATAAATAAATTGATGTTAAATTTATAATATTCAGAGAAAATATGTATCATATGTATCATATTTATATATTTTATTATTAAATTTCTATGTCTAGGTGGCCATAAAAATTAATAATCAAAAATATTATATTTGTTATCAACAACAATACTAAATAAAATATATATTTTACAAAACAGGCAATATAAAATTGTTAATTCTATACTTAATTAATCTTTAGCATGATTTTATTGTCAAAACATTTGTGGTATGTATTAATATACTATATCTACATCGATGATAACTTTTTTGCCTACAATTTAAAATGTTTTATTCATGATACCAAATTTGATTTTTGATTCCAAAATCAAAAAAATCATAATTTTGAGTTGTTAATTTTCGATAGGTGATACGTGTTACATTTATTAAAATATAATTGTTTTAATAATTCTCTTAGATATTTATCTTTGTAATTTTTCTGATTCAAATTCCATTATACATTTTTATGAAGAAATTATTATTTAACCTAAAAATGGGTATAGTATAAATCACCATATTTATAATTTCATAATTGAAAAATTAAAAACCCATCACAACGAGGTCGTGACATAGTGCTGTCATAGCATTGTTGGGTCCAGTATAGATGATATCTGACAGTGAATAAAATCAATATCATGATAAACGCTTCGATATATATCTATAGATAGTTTTTAATTTTATAAAAATTAGTGAATTATTCCAAAAGCTACATGATTTCCTATTTCTTTATTTGTATCCTGATTATAAGTTTTATGATTTATAAATGAAATATATGAATAATTATTTATATATATATATTAAGCTGGTCCTTATTTGACCAACATTAAAAAATCGAATGGAAGAACACCACATTTTGTTTTAAGTAGTAAATAAAAATTTTTCGTAAAATTTGAATATTCTAGAGCAACGATTTCACACGCCTCAAAGGACTTTGAAAAATGACGAGAAAAGGTAGAACTTATACAATCAATTTTTTAGGAAAACATATCAGCAAAATAAAAGGTTCTTACATATATTTACGTAACATTGACCGCTAAGCATAGAAATTAAAAATACTACTTAAACATTTTTTTTTTCATTTTTTTTTTCATTTTTTGGCAATATCTCTCTAAATATTGAGAACACAACAAAAGCTAAAGACATAAAATATATTAAAAAATACATAAATAAAAAAAAATGTTATTATAATTTTTTCTATAATACTGAAATTTAAGAGTTTAAAGTAAGAAAATCACTTAATTTTTTAAAAAAACCAAAAATTATTTCACTGATGCATGTTTTTCTAAGTAGTTTTTAATTTGTTACTCAAAATAATTTATAAATAAATTATCTTCAAATGCTGCTTTAAAAAAAATATTAATGAACAATTTTGGAAACTGAAACATAATTTTTCTAGTGAATTGGATTTGAACCTAATTTACTTTAACATCATGACGAGAGCTTTCCCTCTGCGTTACCTGGTAATCGAGGATACCTAGTGAAATTTTAGTATCTTAATTTGTTTATACACTAAAAGGTCATTAAAAGGCACGACATTTACTTGGAGGGAGTCCATCAAGTCGACACAACATGTCCTGGCGACAGTTCTCAAAGGAGTTTCTTTTGGCGTTCTATAATAACAGCACCCAAGCAGAGATAGAGAACGATGGCTAAGCAACATCGGCGAATGACTGAGTTCATTATAAATAAACAACGGCTAGTGATGCGCACTCGCCCCAATTGTTTAGAGTAGTACATAGAACGGGTTAGTCAATGTTTTGCGCTACGAATATTACGGCAACGTAAACATGTGATGGCCGCGTTCATTAGACAACCTGCACGTAATCGCAAACGATCTCGACAGGCCCTTACGCACTGTTAGACTAAAAGCCAACATAAATCCGTACGTGCCACCTTCTGCGCCACAGGCCATCCGACAGCGGGCGGGCCTGCCTAACGCAGAACGTTGTACCGACCCTGCCGATTGTACTCCCACCGTGGAACTGGAGTTTAACAACGGGTTAGTGACGGCATTAGAGCGTTTATGCGATGGGTGTGTTTTTAATAACATAGGGACGCACAAAGCTTATCGAACTCGATATCGTTGTAAAAGACCCCACTCCCATCGCGTTAAAACCATACCCATACTCTCTGCAAAAACAAGAGACGATAGACAAAATGGAAGGCGAATATGGATAAACAGAAACTTATAGAACCATGTTCCAGAAGTACGACTTAATACAGAACCTGTAATGTGACGTACTACTGATCTTAGAATAAAGTTTTTAATATTAGACGGACGTGAAATGAATTGTAAGATTTTGGCTGTCAACCGCGTGTGTGGGTCCTTTGTGCGCAAATCCTTAAGAATGGGCTATTGCCGGCACTGTTACGCTTGTAAATCATGTAATGCCGTCACAAAACCGTTGTTATTTTTATGGCACAAGTTGTATTTTATGTGGGAATATTAATGAAATGTAACGGTAAATTAAAAAAATGATAAAATGTAACAATTATAATTATTACTATATAATTATATTCAAATATGATAATTAAAAAATAAACCATTGCAGATTAATAATATCCAACGAAATTATACCAATGAAAATAACCAAAAGCGATCGACTCAACAGATTTTTCATTTGAAAATAAAGCAGTAAAAAATAATTAGTATGAATATTTTTATAAAAATTTTTCAAAGTCAAAATTAGCGTTGAAATCGTCATAGTGATACGTATGATCGAGCGGTTGAACCACTGTGGTTTACACTGCGCGGTTCAACTGCCCTAATGTGACTGCACCCTAACGATGATTTCGCACTAAATATCATATGTTATTAAATGGCGACTTTGAAAAATCTTGTATATTTTAAGACATCGTTAATTTAACGAATACTATGATAGTATGAACATATAGTCTGTGGTATTTCTACGAGTTATATGTTTTATTGTTATGTTGATTTAATACCATGGTTCGTCTACATTAGAGTTACTATTTAATAGTCTTTGCTTAAAACAAATTTATACAATATATAATTTTATGAAATATATATGAGATTTATTTTTCCTATTTTTTAAATACTATATTAAGTTAATACTAATTCACCTGTAATATTTAAGTATATTTAGAGTAGAGGTGAATTAAAATAGCAACTTTTTTATGAAAATTAACTTTTGAAATTGTGTCCGGAAATACTGTGTCTTTTAAACATATATCAAATTAAAGCTCATGTCATGTACTATAAAATGAAAAAAACACGACGAGTTATCTTCTATGTGCAAATAGCTGCCGTAGTTAAAAACATGCTATTTTTGTGTTAAGATTCTGTGTTTTGTATTTTATTTTATTTTAAAATATCTTACAAGAGGAATACACTGAGTTTCTAAAATATTATATAACTTAATTGATACAGAATAAATTTCATATGACATAAAAAGTAAAACTTATTTACATTTTATATATTTTCCAATTCCTTAACCTACTTTTATCAATGATACGTAAAATTATTACAATTCGCATTTAGTTGAATATATTACCCTCAAAAATTGAAAACAAATCCCTTAGTTAAATAAAAAGAAGGTTAATAAGAAATTATTTATATTTAAATGATCTGTTACAATAAAAATGCAAAAAAAAACGAGCTTTCCTGATAAATATACTATAATTAGTAATTATAAAATTTGCTGACTGCGTATTAATCTTAACAATACCATTTTTTTTCTATATAATGATCTCAATTTTAAACTTGCAAGTTGAGCTATAAGTTATGGTAATAAATTCATTTTTTTTTTATTATGATTTTTCACTTTAAAGGACAAAAAAGAGTAAGTTAATAATGATTACTTTTAACATATTATACATCAAAATCAATGATCATTTGAAAACAATTAATTATAAATATTATAAAATATATAAAAAAAAAATTAAATATTATATTTTTGAATCTAAGAATTACTAATTTATAATAAATAAGGAAATAGTAGTAGATGTTATTTTGGTAATTATCCTCAAGTTTCTTATGGTTAAACAATATCTACAGATTTGCATCGAAGCTTTTCTTGTGATAGTGATTTTAATACGTCACCACTATGGCGCGACCCCATTGTGCTGAATTTTTTTTTTTAATTAATTAAAAAACTATTGCCAAAACATTGAAATACTAATTTCATATAAAGAAATTCATATTCCATTATTATCAAAAATATTTTTTTTTTTGTAATTATATCTTTAAACATACGTCTACTATTTATTATATTAAACAAATTAATCAAAAGAATTTTTATTTTATGACAATATATTGTTTATTGATTAACAATTACTTAAAAAATGATTCACAATATTTTTAAATCTTCATTTTTAACAATAAATTTAAGGACTTAGATATATTATAATGTATAGTAGGATTTTTTACTTAACACATTAAAATATGTGCAATATTAAATTTGAATAATAAATGAATAAATAGATTAATGAAATAGATTGTTCTAGTACCTTAAATGTAAGGATAGTAAAAATTTAATGAGTCAATATCTAATTGCATGCATTCCTCTGTATAATGACCATGCGTTAAGCAATAATAGCATCTATAGATAGAAAAAAATAACAAAATTTAATCTATTTTTTATACTGTTAAATCATTTAATAATTACCGTTGGCCATAAATATCTCCAACTATTTCAACATCTATGGCCCAATTCGGCTGTGAATCATTGACCACAAACTTTGCTTTTTGTGGAGATTTATAATATTTATAAGTACCAACAATATCTTTCTAAATAAAAAGACAATTTTAAAGGATTTTTGTATTTTTTTGAAATAAAAAATATATATTATCAACTTCATGTCTAAACCGCGAAACATAATTTTTGAGGAAAACAAAAATGCGCTATTTTTATATAGTTTAAAGTAAATTTTTTTATGTTTAATGCCTAATTACTACAAAAAAAATTTAAGATTATTTATTTTGGTATACGAATACTTAGTTTAATTAATTTATGTATTAAAAACTTGACTAGTTTTTTTAAAACGCAGGTTTTGTCATTTATATGACAATAAAATAATATGCCTACCTTATAGAATTTATAACATTTTCCATTTTTTGAAATTATTCTACCGGCTTCATTATTCATTCCAAAATAGCGTATAACACCTTCTTCGTGTTTACGCGTTTCCATGGACACTTCTTCATCAATAGGTGTTACTTCCAGTTCTGGCGAATCATTATTTGGGTGATCCTCTTCAGAAAAAATATAAGAAATGCAAAGGTCATTCATATCTTCAGGTAAATACATATTTTCCTCAGTAATCATATCTTCACCATTCTCTTGCTTAACTGCCAACAAATCTTCTATACAATCAATTTTGAGCTCTGGGGTACTATTATTTGAGTGATCCTGTTCAGTAAAAATATAGGAAATGCAAAGGTCATTCACATCATCGTGTAAATTCATATTTTCCTCAGTAATCATATCTTCACCATTCTCTTGCTTAACTGCCAACAAATCTTCTATACAATCAATTTTGAGCTCTGGGGCACTATTATTTGAGGGATCCTCCTCAGTTAAAGTATTGGAAATGCAAATGTCATTTGTATCTTCAGATAAATTAATATTTTCCACAACAATCATATCGTCACCATTTTCTTGTTTTACAATTGACACACTACCTACTGACACTCCATTTTCTACATCGATATCATTCATTTGTGTTGTGCTACATTCTATGTTTTTAACATATAGTTGTACATCACCTGACATAATTTCTAATTAATATTTCGAATTTCATTATTATTATAGTCTACACAATTATTACAAAATTATATATTTTTGATAATATGAACATAATATCTTACTAAAATTCCATTAAAAGTGAATTTTTTAAAAGTTAATTGTTACAATAGTGACACTACAGGGATATATTATTATATTTACTAAGCAACTAGACTTAAATAATGAAATCTAAGGCTAAATTTGACATAAGGTCAAAAATTTAATTGAGATTTGGTTATAATGATTTCAAATTAAAATATTACGTAGAACAGTGTTATTAATATTAATAGTTGTACTTAAAAAATTGAATTATGGTATGTCAATGTATTATTAATCACTTAAACTTGTATAATTTTTGTATATGAAAAATCATAACAAATACATTAAGTAATTGAAAAATTAAGGTAGTAATTAATTAAGTAATATTATATTTTTCAAAGTTTTCTTTTAGTAACATTCCTATAATAACTATATAAAATAAGTATCCTATAAGTCCTTTTTTAAGTTATTGTCCAAAAATATCAATATTACACTATTTGAGGGATGCTAAGAAGGAAGATAGGGGTTTTGACAACCCTTTTGAGAATAAATAACGTCTTATAGATACATTTTTATTTTTATTGGAGGTGTTAGCAAAATATTATTGATTGTTTATTCCTGCTTCAAAATAATCAAATAAGCGACATAGTTGGTCAGAGCTAACAGTACACAAGAATTTTCTGAGCATGAACTTTTAAGTTCATATTGAGTTCACATTACTATGACAGACAATGAGTGAAATAAAAGTTTTAACTATCTAGACGTCTTAACATTTGTTAAACCACATTTGTTTTGTCATTTATATCATTCTATTTAGTAGCAATTATTTTGTATGAAAAAATATTGATTTTATTTTATTTCAATTATTAACTTTAATAACGTGATGTATATGATTGAATTGAAAATGAATAAACTTCCAAGAGCCTCTAAAATTTATCACTGAATTTTAAAGTTATAAAATCTAAATATTTTGACTACAATACAACTCGCATACTAAAAGAATGTAATTTCATGATGACCTGACATCACAAAGTGTCATTTATAAAATTAACTTATGTAAAATATAGGTCAATGTATGAAATCAATGTTTTACACATACTAATGTTAGATACATCGTCTCATTAATGTAATCATCTACAAAAACATTAACCGATATTTACAATAGTAAATATAATATTCCACAGAAAATTGTTATATTCTTTCCAGCTTAATGTATTATTCATTCCATTATGCAATATAAAATTTTAAACTTTTTTGTATGTAATTTGGTATTATTCGTTAAAAAAATAGCTGAGCTATAATAAACTAAGATACTTTACCACTTGTATTTTGCTTTTTGTTCTCCGAAACACAGCACTTAAATAATGTTGCCAATCGACGAAAAAACCTCTTCACCTTCATTTTAATAATATTATTTACAATAAAATAAATGTATCAAATTATATTTTACAAAATTTTTAATGATTATCAGTAATTCAATACAAGCACAGAAAAATAGTTTTTTTTTAAACAAAATCAAACAACAAACTAATTTATATTTGATTGTAAACATTTGTGTATAAATATTAAGTATCACGTAGCAACTTAATTTACTATTCTTATGATCAAAATACACTTAAAAATTAATTTAAATATTATCAAAAAAACCATACAATTTTATTTTTTTTTACAACATTAGACAATAGCCAAATTATGATTGTTTAGGAGGTCATGTGAATTTTGATTTTAAATTATAGTCCTCGGTTTGTTATAAGATAAATATTTGGAAGTTATGCAATATTCAATTTTTTGAATACTTGAGCAATCCATAATACACTCTAATATAAATAATCAAATGAAAATATTATTGTACTTTTTCAAAGAACTCATAACTTATATATTTTATAATATTTCACACAATTGCTAAATAGTTTTAAATTTTTATCATTGTTCAGTACAAAAATATCCATAAGTGTTAATGGAGTGGTTGAGTCTTTAATTTCTGGAATAACCCAGAATAATTATACAAATTACACATACTATTTTATGTTTGAAATGGTAGTTTTAATATGACTTGTCTGAAAATTAAGGTGTCTTCTAGTTACACTAATTACCCATACATTTATTAAAATTAATAGTATTAAACTTAATTGAATCACAATAATTTGGCGCGCTAAACTTATCAAATTAACAACTATAATCTGCTAAATATTTATTGATGTATTATACTTCTTATTTTTTTAATTTGAGAAAAATATTTAATAGTTCGACATTTTTTAAAAAACATTTAAAAAAAAATTTTGATAACCAAATCTCTTTTAATGTTTTGTATTAAAGTTTCTATAAACAATTTCTTTTTTCAAATTTTAACATTTTCGGTATCAATTGTAAGTCTAACTCAGAAAAAAATTTTTTTTTTATTATAAACATTCACAGAAATCAACTTTAAACGATTAAAAAAAAAAACCCAGCACATGGGGGTCGCAGCACAGTGGTGACGTGGCATAGATGGATCAAGTATAATGATATCTGACAGTGATTAAAATCACTATAAAAAAAAAAACGCTTCGATGCAAATCTTTAGATAGTATTTAATTTTAAAAAATTGGTGTATTATACCAAAAGCTAAATGATCTCATAGTTCCATACACTTTTCAATAAGTTATAGCATTATAAAGTTAAAAATGTAAAATATAAGATCGAGAATTTTCAGACAATATTTTTGTATGAAAATTCAATTATTAAATAATGCAAATTGCTATTTGCATTCGGTAGCCATTTTCACCACGAAGACAAGTCCAGATGTAAAATGTTTTTTCCCATAATAAAGTACATTACATTAGCTTTAATTTAAGATAAAAGTTAAAATTTAAGATAAAAGTGTCAGACCTTCCGGAACATTTTCAAAAGTTAAGTTGAAAAAGTTAATTTTTTGTGAAAAAGTTGTCATTTTAAAACCCCCTTGTGGGCAGATAAAGGGTCAAATTTACAAAAAATATATATACCAAATGATAGGTAATGACATCAAGCATCTTTAAAAAAAAAACTATATTGATATGTTCATTTTTGAAAAAATTATGGCTGTTTTAAGTAAAAAAAATTGAAAAAATGTCGAATATTAGCATTTTTGAAATATGTAATTTTTTTGGAGATTTCCCCCATTTAAAAGAGGATCATTTTTTTAATTTTTGAGGTTTAGTTTTCGACTAGATACAATTTGTGATCTTTTAACGTATTGTTGAAAGAAATCAGTTCTGTAAGAGCTGAGAAAAAGTGATAACAGACACAAAAAAAGAACACATCATAGTAAAATTAATTCCTTCTCAGCCTCGCATCGAAGCTAAAAAAAAATCGAAATATAGATCTTCTTCTTGGTGAAAATGGCTACTGTATTAAAAATATTCTATTTATGAGTTAAAATTCTGTGTTTAGTGTTATATTTTATTTTAAAATATCGTACAAGGGGAATACACTGGGTATCTGCAATATTATATAATTTAATTAATATAGAATAAATTTCATAAGATTTAAAAAAACAGGGGTGTATTTAAAAGAGATTGGCCCCTCCTTGAACAAGCGCTATCAATATTTTTTTAGGCATCTTCTAATATATAAGGACCTAATGTCCTTTTTTTTCATCATTACTTTAATTTTATTAAAAAAAATTCTATAACATGTTTAACAAAGAAAAAAATATTAAATTTCCTCCTAAAATAATTTTTGAATAGGCCTAAAGGGAATACCTCATTAAGAGGCTTCAACCTTATACCCAATACATTTTACTATATTCTCTTTTTGAATTTTCCTGATTTTAATAATAACATTTTTAGATATAGTTTTCACTGATTCTGAAGTAATATTTTTTCTGAAAAACACTTATCGTGCCCGGCGTCGCCGGGTACTTCTACCGGAATCAGTGGCCTACTTATGATGATGGACCGAAGAGGCTTACGCGCCTTCGGCGCGTAAGGTTTGAAGAGCCATAGTTCTGGGGTGGAGACCCAGCTAGGCGGGACCTAGTATTATATAATTTAATTAATATAGAATAAATTTCATAAGATTTAAAAAGTTAATTTATTTACATTTTTTTGCTTTTTTAAGTCAAAAAAGTGACTTTAAAATTTGAATTAAATTTTCAATATTATCATTCGACGAGAGCGACAAACAGTTGTTAATGTTTTGCATTTTTTTTTTTTTTTTTAATTAGAAAAAAATGTTCAACACATTTGATTTTTATCTCATTCTGATTCATTAACTTCAATAAATATTAAGGATCCCATTAATGTAGTCCTACCTTGTGAAAAGAAATGTCTTACTCAAATTTATATTATTTTACTATGTTTTTTTTTTATGGTTACGATTAATTTTTCCAAACCTCATTTAACCTACTTTTTTCAACTATATGTCAAATGATTATAATTCGTATTTAGTTGAGGATATCACCCTCAAAAATTAAAAACAAATCCCTTAATCAAATAAAAAGTAGCTTAAGCAGATTTCTCCATACAAAAAAGTCTAGTGGTCAAATTTTTTTATATAAAAGGTATATATAAAAGTGTCAGTCTTCCCGAAACATTTTCAAATATTAAGTTGAAAAAGTTAATTTTTCGTAAAATAGTTACCATTTTGAAACCCTTCCTGTGGGNCGTAAAATAGTTACCATTTTGAAACCCTTCCTGTGGGCTGTTAAAGGGTCAAATGTTCACAAAAATATATAAAATGACAGTTAATATCTAAGGTATCTATAAAAGAATAATAATATTGATCTATACATTTCTCTAAAAGTTATATAAAATATAAATTATATAATATAAAATATAAAATCGATAATTTTTTCTACGATTTCGATGAAAAGGGAAATGGTCCGATTTAAAAAAAAAGTATGTCGAATGAAAGAAGTATATATAAAGTATTTATCATTAAAGAATAGAATTGATTCATGCGTTTTTTAAAAAAGTTATAGCAACATAATGTTAAAAAATGTAAAATATAATATCAAGAATTTTTTCAAAAAAATAGCATATTTTTGCATACGGTAGTCATTTTCACCATGAAGACAAGTCCAGAGGACAATTTTTTTTTTCAAATTAAAGTATATTACAT